GGGTTTCAAAGAATTCCCTGATAGATTGATGCTCGCGTACCTTTCATTTTGATGGAAAAGGCAGAGCAAGGGATTCGTAAATTGAGCGTCCTGGAAACCGAAGGGGGATAGATTGCTTTGAAGCTCTGATTGCTGGATTCTATGAAGAAGACCTCGCTTTGCCGTCGTGTGGCCAATAAAAATAATCGTAATATTTATACCTTTTTTTCAATTTTTTACTGCAAAACACTTTTAAATATTCACTGAAGCAATCAGGTCGCGTGAAGCCTTGCAAACTATGAATACAGTAAAAGGCTACAATCTTGATTAACATTCTAATCAGATAAGTTCACTTTCATTTACTTGGTAGAATTAGGTTTTCGCATGCGCTTAAGATGCATCATTTGGTATTCATTTGTACCACTCAACATTTGCAATGATTTATATACTTTCACGACAATACTGCTTCATTCTATCAATCATAAGTGCTTTAAACGGAAAACTACATCGATTTATCTCGTGACTTAATTACTTTTTGCCATTTATTATCTCTTGTTTTCTTGATTGTTCACGTACGGATTGCTTCAATCTGGTCTTTTAGGAAAGATCATAAAGAAATTTTGTCTCCGAACTAGAGGCTAGATTTGAGATTTAATCAAAAGGAAGATTCAAACATTTAAACTGTTTATACTACTTGAGTAGTATATTTACAGCAGTTGAATATTAATTGATAGGTTAACACTTTCCCAGTAATAATTGCAACTATTTTGATAAATACTCAGTAAATTTATTAATTTGAAGACAGCGACCAAAACCCACTGGATATTATGCGAAGAGGTTATAAAATTTTTGCGATTTATATTTAATGCTCATTATACTTTCATCTTAGTGTCAATTACGGTAACTGAAAGTGGTTTGATCGTGTTAAATTAATGAGGGCGTCCGACCTCATTTTCGCAACTTGGTTGGAACGTATCTAGCCATGTGTCTTCTGCCAGAGTAATCGATATTTCCAACATCGGACCATTGATATGGTACATTTCCAAACTCTTCACCAAGATCGTCCGTAAGTTTCCGGGACCCCGTCTAGCCATTTGGCATATCTGAACTCTCTCAGATTACTACAGCACTATGGAGCTCCAGGTGGTCTGTTGTCTTTACTCACTAGTTTTCATGTTAATCTTGCATCAACTTTTATCCACGATAGGAGTGCCTCCGACTTAAGCTACGCTCTGGTTAGGGCTCGATAGCTATTATAATCATGAGGACGGTGCTTATGTCAAGGCACTGACTGGAGCATCTGCTCTCGGAAGGCTAGCATCCTCTGCAAATCTAAAAGGCCAGGGATCCACTCGAGGTGATTATTTATCACCATTTTTAGGTAAGTCAAAGAGTACTCGACTGCGACCAAACAGAAGGCTACATCATATATCTATGAATAAAGAGTTTTCGGTTTGTAGTTAAAGCAACTATCATTCATAGAAGTCGTACTTTTCTTTTATCAACACTAATAAGGCATATGATCATCCCTGACGGATGGCATGCATTAGTATCGTAAGTCATAAAGTTTATCGGAGGCAGTATTTACGTTTATAGTGTTGGCTCAACCTCGTTTTCGCAACTTGGAGCGTCAAGAAAACCTTGTGGAACTTACCCAGTCCCGTGTCCTTTGCCATAGTATTCGTGATTTCCAGCGTCGGCAGCCATCTTGGTCTTTATATCTATGGCCTGCCTTCGTCCATGATTTCATGCACCTATTGGAGAACTGAAAATGAGTATGGATGAGGGCATTTTAGTATAATAACGAGCGATCATATGTTCAGTATTGAAAGTATTGTAATCTTACTTAAATTGTGAATAGGATAGGTATGAAGACCAAGATGGTGTGGCCTTTTGTGTGGTCGCAGTCTCCTTTTGTTGACCAAGTTGCGAAAACAAGGTCAAACAACCTCTGTGAATAGGATAGTTGAAATTTTACCATTTTTTTCAGGGCCTGATGTTTCATCGGGCTTCTTT